ATATATTGTGATTCTTTTATATTGTTCTATAGAATTAAATGAAATCAAATGAAAAATAGTTTAATCGATATCCTTATTAACCATATAATTTATTTAAAGCTATTTATATATTTATATGTATATATGTATATGAATGAATGTTAAACGATTGGACAGAACGGAATGAATAATTATTGCTAATGTACCGCATCGTGGTACGAGTAAATTTCGAATAATATTTCGTTAATGTTGTTATCTCGATTAATCGTAATATAAAGTATTATATGTTACTTTGAAAAATTAATTCTTATCGTAAATGAATCTCTTGGCTTTCTATATTTACAAGGGTAGCCAATTAATTGATTTTATCGTGAATATCCTTTAAATTGGCGATATTTACGTTTATTAAAATCGTAATTGCAATAAAAAAAAAGAAAAGGATCGAAAAAAAGTGATAATTTTTTAATTGATCAAATTGGAATGATGTGCCGTAAACAATTGATTCGAATTTATAAAGGTAGAAAATTTGAAAAATATGTCCTGCACAAATTTTAATAATAATAATGGCGTTGATGATTATAGTATTATTCAAAATAATAATTTAAGCGGTTAACAATTTTTTGACTTCTATGGCACGTAATTTTACGTTTTTTTCTTTTCGATATAAAGGGATTATTTTAATTCCGTTTTTTTACTTTTATAATCAAACGCGGCTATTCAGCGACGATTTGGCCGTTAATCGCATTTTACAATACGAAAGAGGATTATCTATCATTTGTTGAAAATTGCGTATGATAGAGATACATTGTTTTATTTATTAAAAAATTATTATTATTATTATAATCAGAGAAATATTTTCATAAAATATCTTTTACATTTTTCTACAATGTTTGATTGTATTCTATTAAAGATTTGTTTTGTAAGCTTGATTTTTAAATCGTGTAACGATAAAAGAAATATGTATTTAAATAAAATACGTAGTTTCTTTGTATAAATACACGTTTATAAATAGTTGTATTATTTTTTAAATAACATTTTCATTTAAACAAATAGATGGCATAACTATCTTTGTTCGATATTTGTTTATTTATTACAAAAAAATAGTATAAGGAATAAAATTGAATGAAATACCTTAGATAAAGATTGAGTTTGTTCATTGATTTGAAGACTATGGACTTCGATCACATTTGGTAATAGAGGCTTTGGATAACCAAGAACGTGATTATTGCCTAATATAATCAAGCTAAAGTTTCTGTCTATGTCGTAAAGTGGCGTATCCGGTACGAGCTTGTCAGCTATCTGTTGTGCTCTTGGCAAATGCCAGTACCTATAATAGAACCTGGTCCAGCTTGTATATAATATATTCCAAATTCTCTCGTCCATGCTCATTCGATTTGTGAAGGGGTAAGCCATATCGGGATTCAACATTGGATCGTCCGGATTTCCTGAAAGTAACGAGAATACGATCTACTAGGATTGACATTCTCGCGATCTGTGTCTATAAACTTGATATATGCTACTATTATTTTTTAAAAACATATATTTAATATGTCATAAGAATAAATATATAGTCAAAATCGTTTTATTTATAACCATGGTTTATTGATTATTTTTTATATATTGCAATAAATGGATTTATTTTATTAATATATTAGAAGATGACCCCCCAGAGAAATTCCGATAGAAACGAAGATAAAGCAAGACACATTGACCCTTTCGTATTTCCGTTTTCTTTCTCTTTTATTTCTAGTCTGATACAAGTTAAAGCACTACCAAGCAATCTATCCGTTTTCTAGAAGGTTTTCGACCTTCCAACGATTGCTCGCACTTTCTGTTTTATCGACAATTTACGTCAATTTCCGAGTTAGGTAACGACGTTCGTTTGGGAATGCTAGAAAGCACAAAATTCAACGAACACCATAGTCACGTTTATGCTCGTCCTTCCTATTAGGATACTTGGATTTCTTAAATAATTGCCTTTATCGGCAAAATTGTGCTTTTTTAGTTGGATACCTACAAATATCTTACCAATCGAATCCATGACATATGGAAGATTTCCAACACTTAAAAATCCAATTAGTACGGGAAAGTTATAGTGCTTCACTAGAGAGTAATAGCAATGAAACCATAATTGTTCGATTATAATTGCATCGAATGTTTTTCTTTTTCTAAAACATATTGAAACTTGTTACAAATTTTAAACTGTTTTTAATATATTTTTTTCACATATAAATCATACTATTTAATGTAATTATTTTGTGTCTTTTTACTTTACCTATTACGGATTCAAGTCATTTCTTTACGAATACCTTTTAACACCTATTTAACACTATCAAAGAGGTACGCCCCTCTAGAATTCAAAGTACACGGTTTTTGTATTTTATTTCTCCGAACAGGTCACCCATCCATTTTACTAACAATCCCTAAGTCGATTGATTTTAGTGATTCTTTTTTATATTCATATTGATTAAAATGTAAATTTGTTCCTAAATCCAATTAATCGTTATCATATATAATACATTTTGTTTTAATATGTATAAATATTATGTACTAGCATCCGTAAAATCACATAAGCGTGTTCACATATTATGGTAACTAAATTCTCTACAGAAAATAAGAACGAGTAGAAGAAAGAAAAAAAAAAAGAAAAAAAGAAAAAAAGAGGGAGAGAAAGAAAGAGAGGGAAAGAAAGAGAGATTTTACAGGTCAGGACAACTTTTTTAAAAGTACAGGAAAAACGCGTCGAAGACAGTGGGGAAAAGTTTTCTCTCACGTTTCAGCCATGTCTCTGAAAGATTTCGCCAGCTTGCCCGTGCGGATAGAATTTCTTTCGATAACGTTAGGTGAATATACAAGCATTAGATAAATATTTGTATGTATGTAGTAGTGTCTGGCTACGCGATACAGTGAATACAATGTTATCATATTATACTATGTATACAAAAAATATCCCTATTTAAATATGTAATTCATTTTTTAAGATATTTCAAAATAGATTAAATTGTTACTATTTATAAAAAAAAAAAGAACAATTTAAAGAATCATACATTTGAAGAAAGAATATAATTAATTTAAATGTGAACGACCAAACTACTTTTGATTACTAGTTCACTTTAAATTTCTAAAGGGAACAATATACTAATTATTGTATATTATGAGAAGGTGTTAGTAGAAGAATGTATCGAACCCGTAAAAGGGAGAGTAAAAAGACACAACTGATTTAAATTACTTAAGTAATTCCATAATTTGATCACTGAAGAGCTGCTCAGCACAAAGATCGTTAGCTTCTTTCATATTTTTCATTAAAATCTCGTAAGGATTCATATGTCTGTGAAAAGGAAAAGCAAAGAAACAAAAAATAACAATTTAATTTATCTATAATTTAAAACAATATTCTAATTCTGATGACTCACCTAAGTTTAGTGCAATCATTTTTACGATATGTGAACGAGAGATCAACATCCTCGTAATTTGGTATACTTTTCTAAAGAAAACAATATTACATTATAGTATAACAAAAGATTGTTTCATTTTATTCTTTTCGTTCACGCTAACGGGTATAATTTATCACCGATTCGAGAGAAGAGAGAGAAAGAGAAAGAGAGAAAAAGAAAGGGGAAAAAAAAGAAGAAGAAGAAAAGGAAAGAACGAGGTACTATCAGAGCACGAGAGGACACATTTAGCAAAGAGAAATGTTAGTAAGAGTAAATTGAAGGTGAACAAAGTTTGCGTAACTTTGAGCTCAAGTTTAGAAAGAGAGAGAGAGAGAGAGAAAATGTGGTGAAGGAATAGATCTAAAGGAGCGTACGAAGTAAGAGCAAGAAAGAAAAAGAGAGAGAGAGAGAAAGAAAGGGAGAGAGAAGAAAAAATAAAAAGTGGAATAAGAGAAAGAGAAAACGTAGATGAGGTAGGAAAAAGAGTCGGATGTCTATTTGAAATATTTCCCGAACTTTTTTCGACCGAGTTCTACAAAATTATTGAATTATTAAAATGCCGTTATGAACTAGTTTGAAGCGTTCTTCGCAATCCACTTGACTCGGCTTTTATCTGAATGAAAGATGTCGTCTTTGGAATAATTTGAAATTCGACGTTTCCCGAATTTGATATGTTATTTATGGTTATTATAGTTACAGATATCTATTTAATACACATAATGTGTAGAATTGCCGTATCAGTAATAGTTGAATATATGATTAATTACTGTAACTTTGTGAGAATTATAAATAGGTATTGTTTATGATTATTATGGTCATAGATATCTATCTATGCAGTATACATGAAGTGTAAAATGGACATACCTTTAATGGTATCGTTGAAATGACAGTAACATTGTGACCACGCATTGCCAGTGCCTGCATCAGTGCTTGGAATGGTTGTTGATGACTATAACTTGTACTAGGACAAATGCCTAGAATGCGAAATCCATCGACTAGGAAACTCCACTCGCAAAATATGAGAATTATTGAGGGTATCAGAATAATGTTCATTTTGTACTATTTCGATATTCTTCTCTACGACGATTATTTTTTTGAACGATGAAAGGGAACACACTAATGGTTTAGGCAACGATCGTATTAAACGTTCTAAACAATTTGGAACAAGTTTTTGAGCTTTTTTAAAATTGCTCTAAACACCAAAAGAGAATCGAGTAGTTAAAGGAAAAGAAGAAGAGAAAGAAGAAGAGAAAGGAGAAAAGGAGTTCGGTATGAGCTTGTATGAACAATTCAGAGCACGTTTCACGATCAGTTTGCTTGGTGCCACGGTAAATAAGTGAACGACTTTCTCATTGGCCAGTTCATAGCTCTCTCTCTCTCTTTCTCTCTTCTTCTCTATTTTTTTTCCTTTATTCTTCTTCTTCTTCCTTCTTCTTCTTCTTCTTTCTTTTCTTAGTTTCACGTAAGAAAGAAATAATTCAAGACTCGTCTGACACGTGACAGATATTTCTGTATGTAACTCTAAAGACAAAGGGTGCTATTCAAAGCTAATGAGAATTTCATCGAAGTCGTTTTCTTATCGATTAGAAGAGGCCTTGATATTGATAATACTGTCTTTATATACTTATAAGCTATTTTTATAAATGTATATATACTATAATCATTTTTAGAGTTTTCTAATGTTCTCTGTAAAAAATATTCTTTATAAAATTGATTTATTTTCGTAGTAAAATAATCTTGTAACTTATCAATATAAAAAGTAATTTAAATAAATATTGAATTTTTATAAAATCATATCAAGATGATTATTATATATTGTATAATATATATAGATATATTTTTTTCAAATTCTTTTATCAAAAGCTGTCCTTTAAGAATTGAAAGCTAATTAATCTTGAAAGAAAATCAGAAACGTAACTAAAAATAAAAGTGATCGTTTTCACTCGGAACGACCTGATTTCAAGAAAGTGTAGACGGATTACCTGACATAGTACCATTAGCTTCGAACCTAGAACTCGTTGCTTGTTGGCAGAGAGAAGTGAGAGAAGGTTTGTCGCAAGAGGAAATGTTGCTGTTGCTCTCTAAGAACGAAGAGAAATCGGCGGTGGCACGTCTTGAGGAAAACATTTCGAGCTCTACAAAAATGTCAGCGTATACCCTCCCTACCTGTATACCTTCCGAGGCATTGTTGAAAAAAACCACTTTCGCGTTTTTTTCTCTTTTTGTTTTTTTTTGTTTTCCCTTGTCTCATGCTTTTTTTCCATTTTATTTTATTTTTAATATGTTTGTTATCAAACGATTATTCCACAAGAGATGACTGCTTTATCGAATTATCTTTATCAAAAGAGAAAAACAAAAAAGAACAAAAAAAGGAATATAAAATCCAAAAAACGGATAAAAATTGTGGTCTCTGGGCAAAAAAAGGTAAAAAATGTGTTGCGAGTAATTACATTAATGTGGACAGCTTCAGAAAGAAATAAAATAGAAAGAAAAGAAAAAAGAAAAAAGAAAAAAAATATATATATAATTTAAAAATAAAATAATACTTATAAAATAAATTGGAGGAAAAGAAGGACTAGCGTTCGCTTTTAAACGTTTTATGTTTTATTATTGTTGCTCTCTCCCGTTTCCACCGCACTCCTCGCAGTTTACGCGTCGTGTCACAATATTTATAATTATTTCCCCGTTTCATAGTCTCGCGGTGTTGCGCGTAGATATCCACATATTTTCAAAACGGCGTCGTCGGGAAGAAGTACGTTCCTTCCACGAAGATAAAAGGTTTTTGCATGCTCGGTTGTAAGCATGGTGCATTACTTAGGGCTGTCATAACATAGGACCATGCGAAAAAGCTCTCGTTAATTCGGGACATCGTGCGTACTTTTCGCAAAAAGCTTGCTCGGCATTGTTGATCTTCCTTGTGGTAGGAAAAAAGAGAGAGAAAGGGAAATGGAAAGAGATAGATAGGAAAAACAAAAAGTTGAAAGAGAGCAGAAAAAGTTTTTCGTTTTTCGAATGTTTCGATCTCGAATGCAATAAAGAAAGTTATTAATTGGTTTGTATATATGATGACCTATAAATCGATTGATATTGATAGTTATTTAACTGTTCATTAATTAGAACAAAATGTGCAGAAGAATTTGGAAATATTTTATCACAATAATCAGTCATTTACAATTAGACCAGTCTGATAAAAATAATGTAAATTAACTGTAGTTCTAATATTATGCATATGAAGTTATTCGAGTAATGGGATACTTCGTATAACGAAATATTCGATGTAAGTCGAAATATTCGTTCAACTTGTAAAATCAGACGGAACGAGAAGCGACAGTAGCGACGATACGTCGGATCTCGCGGTTCTGAGTGCGAGATAAATCGTTTTTCTTCCTTATTTTTCTTGCGCCCTTTCTCACTCGCTCTTTTTCGTACGATGCTATGCATGTTGCTAGAATCGTGTTTGTAGAGGCAGATAACTCTGACGTTTCCGAAGATCTAATAGGGTACGGTACGACTTTAAAGTGCTCGGCTGACACCGTAGGTGGGCGGGAAATTCGAATCACGTGTCAGAGTCAGATGCGCTTGATAAGGGTTGAAAGCAGTTCCGTTGTGCGTCGTCGTCGTTGTCGTCTTCGTCTTCGTCGTCGTAGGAAGATTCGTCTTGAAACTTGATACTACTCAAGTAATAAGAAAACGAGTAAACCATTGGGCTAATTTGTCTTACATATTCCAATATACAGGTATATATATATGATATATTATCGATTAAAATTAATCGTTATCGAAAACTTCTCAAAAACTTTCAATATTTTTTCATTGTTAAATTTATATTACTTTCTATATAAAATCTATCTATTCCTATTGTATTATTATCCATCGCATAGTCCGAAATATTGGACAGAAGGATAATCGGGACTGTCTGTTTCTCTGTCCGTTCGATTCCCACGTATCGTGGCTTATATAAACGACGTCGACGTTTGAAACAATACAATGATCGCAGGGGTGTGGATGCAACGGTGAAAGGGATGGGGGAGAGAATGAGGTCTATAGGGAAGGAAGTCGTGTGTCTGCTTTTGTCAAGCCGCGATACAAGCTGTGGATTTAATACAACACCCAGTCCACGTAGAGAGGATAGGAGACAGAAGATGCGAGAGAGAATTAGCGAGATCGGAGATAGACATAAAATGAACGAGAAAGAGATAGAGATAGAAATATATATATAGAGAGAGAAAGAGAGAGAAAGTGAGTTTACGTAGGTGAGAATGGGACCGAGAAAGTTCGAGCAAAATGCTGTGTGTGTCACTAAGTAAGCGTCTAGATTTGCTCCCCTTCTCTTTCCTACTCACCCTCATTCTCATACCTACACACACACACACATACATTTTGAAAACCCGAGCATAGAGAATGTGTCAACTTCAGCTGCGTGTGTTTTGCGAGACCTCTCGGTAATTCTCCGCTCTTTTCACCAACACTATCTATACTAATACTACCACTACTACTCGGAATAAAACACTTGACGCGTCCTTCACCCTTCCTTAGAGTTTGGCCCTGACTTCTCCTTACCCCTCCTCTTCATCTTCTCTGTCGTTTCTTGGATCTGGTATTGTACACAAACCGTACTTGTAGCGTACCTGTATTTTCTATCTTTCTCTTTCCTTCTCGATGTGCTTGCTACCTTTTCAAAACTCATACTCCCTCATCCCTTGCTCTTTCTCTTTCTCTTTCTCTTACTTCCTTTTTGTTACAGTACTTATGTAAACGAAATTCGAGCAAGTATTTATGGCTAATTTTATGAAGAACAAACGAGAGTTTGGGTTACACATATGAGCATGTTAGTCACGTGTGCTGTGTTTTATTGTGGATTTTTTTGTCTGTGTGGTTAGATCGTTATCAAGGGTGATTTATGTAGAGGAAAATGTAAAGTTAATGGAGAGTAAGATACATATGTAGATAGAACATGTATAGATTATATAGGTATATATTGTCTTGTGCACTAGAAATATTTCAAAGATCCTGCATGGAGTGATAAAATTTTTTTATTATAAACCAACTATGCAGTTTCTTCTACGTTTGTATGTTTTCATAAAAGTTTCATTTGTCGTGATATATTTTTCTTTGATGTTTAGTATATCATTATTATAATTATTGTAAAACTTTTATTCGTATTTTTATCAAACATATTTTTTAATCGTACAATAACATTTGTATAATTTTTTTGTCTATATAAAAAAATCTCTTATAATCCTTCTTAATTTTATTTCTTAATAACTTAACCACATTAAGAATACATAGTTCAAACACGTTTATACACATTATTAGAGAAAGATTTTTAAATTTTAAACCTATGCAATTATTTAAAAAAATAAAAAATACTCAGAGTTAATTATTCCAACTTGCTTATTCATATGTAAATATTGAGCATTACGTTAACGCCAAAATTTAAAAGAAAAACTTCATTCTTAAAATTTAAATATTTAAATAAAACTTTTTCCCAAGCCCTTTATATATTTTCTTTTAATTTCTATAACTGCACACTGTAAACACTATTTTCCAGAATAATTAAAGTAGGAAAAAGATACTCCTCGAGAAGCATCAGATAGTAATTGAAACAAAAAATCATCAAATTTGGAATATATATCCTTAATGGTGCGTGTGTATGCATATTTATCCTTATACATATATTACATATTCTACATACTAGCCACGTTACGTTACAACAATCTTGCGTAAACGGAGTGGCATTATCGTAGTACAAACACACATACAAGTCACGAAAGCTTGTCGTCACGAACAGTAGCTTCATCGACGCGTGCCCATTAACTTCAGGAAAGCCTAGCAGGATCCGTGTAAAGCCTGCTTTTGCACATCGCAAAACGTGTTTTCGCGTTACCCTCGAATCGTTGGCTTCACCTTTGCGCGTGCACTAACCAACTCTGATACATACTGTTATTTCACACGGTCACTTGGGGTTTGCCCTGACTTTATTGGTACTTAACAAGTTGTTGAATAAGAGGGATGAAAAGAAACATAAAAATATAAAGGTTGATTAGATATTT